ATTATGGGATGCAAATTCAACAGGCTATCTGAAGATAGCAAACAGTTGTTGGAATCAGAGTTTACTGAGGATGAGATTTTGAGAGTCTAAAGTTGTGTAATGGTGATAAAACTCCAGGCCTGGGCGGTTTCAGTATGAAATTCTTGTAGGAGTTCTAGCATGTAATCAAGGGTGATGTAGTAGAGCTCTTTAGAGAGTTGCATGATTCTGGTAAGTTTGTAAAATCATTAAACACTACCTTTCTTGTTCTCATTGCCAAAAAGGAATGTGCAAAGGATATCAGAAACTTCATACCAATAAGTTTGGTGGGCTGCATTTATAAACTCATTGCTGAAGTATTGGTTAGAAAATTGTTGAGAGCACTTGGTGATGCAATAGGAGAGTCCCAGCATGCTTTTGTGGAGGGTAAGTAGATTTTAGATGCAATTATGGCGGTGAGTGAGGTGGTGGATCTGTAAGCTAGACATGGAGAAGGCGTATGACCATGTAAGCTGGGTTTTCATAGACTACATGTTGGGAAGAATGGTTTTGGCCAAAAATAGAGAAGTTAGATGCATGCTTGTATGTCCTCTACATCTTTTGCTGTTCTCATTAATGGAGACCCGTCGACTTTCTTTAAAACTTTGAGAAGGCTTCAACAGGGGGATCCTCTTTCTCCACTATTGTTTATCATCGTTATGAAAGCTTTGAATGGTTTGATGATAAAGGCTAAGGATCTGCAGTTGGTGAGAGAAGTTTCTGTGGGCAGAGGAGACAATACAGTTGAGATCTCACATCTTTTTTTTGCAGATGACACTTTGATCTTCTACCATTCAGATGTGAGGATTCTATTGGATTTAAGGTGTGTTATTTTGTGCTTCCAAGCAGTTTCTGGGCTCAATATTAATTTGAATAAATCAGAATTGGTGATAAAAGTGATGAGAGTTGTCTTGCTAGGGTGTTGGAATGCAGAACAGTCAGTCTTCCAATCAAATACCTTGGGGTCCCACTGGGGGCAAAGTATAAAGACACGAGAACTTGAGAGCCGGTGGTGGAATTGTTTGGGAAAAGACTAACTGGTTGGAAAAGAAATTTGTCCAAGGGAGGTAGGTTCACCTTAATCAAAAGTACACTTGCCAATCTTCCCATTTATTATCTTTCTACCTTAACGATTCCTGTGAAAGTTGCAAGGAGAATGGAAGTCATCCAGTGCCACTTCTTTTGGGGTGATGCGGATGAGAAAAGGAGATATCACTGTGGTTAAATGCGTTGATGTCAAACAACCCTTTAACCAAGCTAGTTTAAGTATTAGACCTCTTATTGAGATGAATGTGGCTCTTTAAGGGAAGTGCTTGTGGAGATTTTTGGAGAAGGATAGGATGTGGACGAGGATTATTGAGGTGAGGTGGGGCGGCTTTGAGGATTAAAAAACTGCATGGATTGGGTTTATGGAGGAAGATTATGATGGAGTGGCCTTGTTTTCAGAAGTGTATTAATTGGAAACTAGGTAGAGATAACAGAATCAGATTTTGGCCGGATGATTGGTTTGAAGGAGGGTTTCTTATGAGGCATTTCTCAAAGATTTTTGCTATTGCACAATCAAGAAGCATGGTGATTGAGGAAGCGTACAGGGACATCAATGGTAGCAAAGAATGGATGGTGAATGTTACTATAAACCCGAATGATTGGGAAATTAGTGAGTACAAAGCTTTACTGCAATTACTTGCCTTACAACAGGTTAATTCCAATACGGACCAGGTGCTTTGGAAGCTTAAACAGAAAGGAGATTTCTCAGTTAAATCTTACTAAAAGCATATTGTGAGGAATGGGCAGGGAAGGAGTCACAATTTCCTGGTTCATCAAATTTGGAAATCAAAGGCGCCTCCTAGAATCGCTTTTTTCCCTTGGGATGGTAGTCGGGAATGCATATTGACCATTAATAAACTGGTGACCAGAGGCCAGATTATGGTTAACAGGTGTTACTTATTCATGAACGCAGCAGAATCTTGCAATCATATTCTTTTGTGCTATCCTACGGCTTATGAATTGTGGAGCATGATATATGGTCTTTTGAGGATTAAATGAGCGATGACGGGTTCTATTAAAGAGGATATTTGGGCTTGGGATGTGCTATGTAAAAAGAGAGTTTGTAAAGTTGATTCCATTGACAATTTTTTGGGTCCTTTGGAAGGAAAAAATTATAAAACTTTTGAGGACAAAGAGGTAAAGAATCATAAATTGAGAGATAGATAATTTCACTATTTTGGATCTATCTTATTAGGACATGACACCATTAGGGATGAAGATTTTAGGAATGTCATTGACACTCTAACAAAATTGTAAATTTTTTGTACATGCATAGTACCCTTTTGGTACCTTATTAATACATACTTCACACTTTTTGTCTCAAAAAAAAAAATTATTCTTTTGTGGTATCCTATGGCTCATGAATCTTACAATCATATCCTTTTCTGATATCCTATGGCTTATGAATTATGGAGCATGATATATGGTCTCTTGGGGATTAAATGAGTGATGGCGGGTTCTATTAAAGAGGATATTTGGGCTTGGGATGTGCTATGTAAAAAGAGAGTTTGTAAAGCTAATTCCATTAACAATTTTTTGGGTCCTTTGGAAGGAAAAGAATTATAAAATTTTTGAGAGCAAAGAGGTAAAGAATCATAGATTGAAAGATAGATGATTCACTATTTTGGGTCTATCTTATTAGAACATGATACCATTAGGGATGAGAATTTTAAGAATGTCATTGACACTCTTAACAAAATTGTAATATTACATGGATGGTACCCCCTTGATATCTTGTTAATACATACTTCACACTTTTTATCTAAAAAAAATTATCCTTTTGTGGTATCGTATGGCTTATGAATCTTGCAATCATATCCTTTTGTGGTATCCCATGGCTTATGAATTGTGGAGCATGATATATGGTCTTTTGGGGATTAAATGAGTAATGACGGGTGTTCTATTAAAGAGGATATTTGGACTTGGGATGTGCCATGTAAAAAGAGAGTTTGTAAAGTTGATTCTTTTTGACAATTTTTTGGGTCCTTTGGAAGGAAAATAATTATAAAACTTTTGAGGGCAAAAAGGCAGCGAATCATAAATTGAGAGATAGATGATTTCACTATTTTGGATCTATCTTGTCAGGACATGACACCTTTAAGGATGAAAATTTTAAAAATGTTATTGATACTCTAAGAAAATTGTAAATTTTTTGTATATAAATGGTACTCCCTTGGTACCTTATTAATACATACTTCACAATTTTTATCTCAAAAAAAAAAATTATCAATTGTACAATTTGAATGACATTATTATTAAAACTTATGTTCTATTATTTATATATAAATTTTTGAACAAACAGTTCAATTAATAAACATTGGTTCCACCAATCAACCAGTGTCTCAACTGGTTCGGAAACTAGCCTAATTTTTCCAACTATGATCTATACCAGTGGCCCAGAATGTAATGAGAACTGATGTTTGCCAGGGATATCAAATTAATTATAGGAAGCTCATAAAGGGTGGGGGTTAAGAAGACAGCAGCAAGCAAAGCTAAAAAAATCTGTAAGCACCACAAAAACAAACTCGATATAATCAACAAACTAAAGTTTATACAGGATAACCACTCAATCACACATACAAAATGTTCATGCATGTGATTCCTATAGAGGAGTAGCAAACATTTACGTCGAATTTGGTTCAAATTTCAATTCCATGCAATATAAAGGAGAAAGCATATAAATAGGACTGAAATTTGAACAAGAACAGTATTCCTATTCCAAATTTATTTCATGTCCAATTCAAGTCAAGAGTTTTCGTGATGCCTTCCTTGAGAGGCAGGAATACAAAATTCATGGGTGTACAATTGACGATAAGATTAAAATGAACTTAATTATGTATCAAATACGTTAATATGACTAATTTCTCAATATTAAATAACTTAGATCTAGAAATTGAAGGAGAATAAAATTGGTCTAAAATAAACACAATATTACGGTATTTAGTTCAGTAAAAACAAAGGTTTAAAATGTTCTGTTTCTGATAGAATCAGAAAACAATTTTCAGATGCTTTCTGCACTCAGGAAGAAATTTTCCAACAGAAGTGTTTCTGTTTTGTCAAAATAAACATGTTTTACTTGTTTCCTAAAAATAAAAACTTTTATTGGGAAACAAGACTTTCTACAACTAAACAACTTCTAATCTTTCCAGTCACAATAATTCTAACACCATTATGACAAAAGTTATCATTATGAACAAGTTCTCATCAGGTCAGCAAATCTCAGTTGATGTAAAGATTCCAAGTAGAAGTTTCAAAATAACGAAAGAAAATAAAAAACAAGGAAGAAAAAGGTCATCAAACTTCAATAGTAGATTTTGAAGACAATCCTACCTGAGTTGCTAACTCTACTGGTGCTTTTATCGCAGGATAGATGCTAACCTACAAACAGCAAAAACACCCGCAAGACAAAAGCATTAGAGCAAACAATTATCCAGATTTCAATATCACAGCAGTATAAGGCAAGAGTTACACAAGCACTCAGTCAAACACAATTAAGGCATGCACTGACAAACTGCCATAATATATAGATGAATTGTGCAGTTCTGTAGTTGCTTAAATGCTGCCACTCAGCAAATATATAGGTCTTTATTAACAGCAGTTATGAAGTGAACAAGAAATCTTCCTTGAGCAAAGCATCACATGAGAGTAGATATTGAGAAACTACTAGATAGAGCTATCTACAAATTAGAAAAGGATCAGACTTTTCATTTCCGATTTCAACTTTGGCAAACTAATACTAAACCCATAAAGTAACTAAAGAAATATCTAACATGCAAATATTGATTGTTATATAGCATCTGATACTCTGCGAGAACTTATTTGTTCACAAGCACATTCAAACCCCCAAAAAATGTTTAAAAATATAAAAATCAAAATTGAAGACCAAAGCAACAAGGATACTCATAACTTCCCCTCCTTGTCACTTTGAACTTAATTAAGGGAGACTAAAGGAATCATAAACTTACAGATTTAGGATCAATAGACATTCCAGATAAAGATGCACCAACAATCTTGAAAGATACCTGTAAATATGAGTTAGAAAAGCATGTTGTGGGAAAAAATAAACTCTCAACATCGAGGAAAATAGCAAGATGTACAACACAAACCTATAGCTTAGAAGTTATTTTAAATCGATAAAATATTACCAAATAAATTCTTGGCAAATCAGAATTATGCCACTATTCTTATCGGGATACTACTTATAGAGATACACATACTTTGATAAAGAAAACTGAAAACTGAATATAAAAGAACATTCAAGTTCAGTCAACAAGAGCAACTGCTTAACTAGCAGTCATCAGATTCACATCCACATGCATTGATCTTTAAAATAAAAATGTGTAAGCAAAGACAGTATCGTTTTTCCATTTTTGTATTCTTTTATCAGCATAGGACACTTATACCATTCAGAGGCACAAATTATCAACTTTGACGAAAAACATATATCAATAAAAAATTGAGATCTATTGCATATTCTTTGCAAAGAAACAAGAACCTGAGAACTCTAGCATATTACAGAACCATGTCCAATAACAAAAAAATATATATATATTAAAGAGACAAAATCTTCTTTGAAGACATCATGCAACTACAAAGATTAACATCTAAAAGGAACTGTTTTTTTCCTACTGATACACATCTTCATAGGCAAGGCATAATTGTCTTTGGATGAAGAATGACTCAATTGGCCTCGACAAGATCAACTTGCTATAAGTCATGGAAACAAAAATTACATTTAGGAAGTTGTGCAGGGAATATAGAGAACTTCTAGAATTTGCAAAAGCAGGACGTAAAATTTAAAGCATATACCTCTAAGTGTACGTAAAAGAATTTGGTTTTTTTTTATAGATAAAAGTTAGTAGATTTATTAAAAAATGGCACCAAGGGGATACCACTCATGTACAAAAGTATTACATAAAAGAATTTGGTTTTAAAAAACATTTGAATAACATCATGCAACCACAAACGTTTAACATCTAACGGAAATTGTTTTTTCCATTCGTGCACATGCAATAAAGGAACTTATTCAGTTTCCATCATTGCATCAACTCATAAAAGAAAACTAAAGAATGAAGCAGTTGTCTTTAAAAAGGTTTGACTAACTACAAATCAAGCAAACAAAAGTTACAGATATTACATATTCATGCAAAGAATATAGGAAACTTCTTGGATTTGGAAAACCAGCTGAAGGATAAAATAACAGAAAGCACATACTTTCGCATAATTATACGCATGCCAACAAAATGGCTCCTCTAAGTCAACTGGGGCGAGATCTTTGTTCATTTTTTCCATTAAAAACTCCTCCACATTCACCATATTGTTAGTATACTCTGTCTCAGTATCACTCTCTTCATCAGCTGCATTTCCAAAGAACGATCTAGAGTAAGAGACTCTTTGGGTTTGCCATGGTGAAAACCTGACAGTTCCAGGAAAAGTTGCCTCAATACTTTTCCCAGCAAGACCTCGTCCACTGGTGATAATTTTCCATTCAACAGAGTGCTCTGTAGTTGAAACTGTTCCAATTGATGGAGTCCCCTCAAAAGAGATGACCCTTCTTCTAGGAAATGGCATTGTCACATTACAGAATTCCATTGTCAGAGGGGCCTTATAACCTTCCATGAGTCTCAACTTAAATAAAAATGCGCCTTCATCTTCAGAAACCATTGATAATTGATAAAATCCCTTTACAGGAGTCCAAGGATACAACCTGCCTGATAACGGACCAAACAAGTACCTAAAGGTGGTGAAACATCACAGCCTGCTTATCCATTCCATGTTC